CGCGAAGTCTGAGGTCCAAAGCTTCGGAAGACAGACGGCACACGCGAACCATCGGTATTTTCCTTATAGCCACGTCATCCTTATCAGCAGCATCAATCATAGGCATCATCGCCGTCACAGCAAGTATCAGATTATCATGCCTGCATCATCGCTATCGGTATCACTGGGTGAACACCAGCCTGAGTCATAACCGCCATCACCAACATCATCACCGTCATCATAATGTACATGCTTGGCATCGTTGCATCGTCATCATCACCATCATCATCATGATCATCATCACCACAACCATCTACGAAATCGCAACAGCACGGTTTGCATTGCTCCTGCAGGTGCTGATGCCAACCGCAACACAGAACAAACACATGCAACACCAAATTTAACTGCTTACTGAAAACATTAGAAGACAACCGAGACGGCAAACCAGCAGCAGCGGCGGCAGCAACAACAGCAACCGCAACAGCAACAACAACAACAACAACAAGAACAACAGCCACAATGATGTCCATAGCACAAATGGCTGCACAAAAACGAAAAAGCAAACTGACATCAATCGCATCGTGACCTAAGGAGTCCTCTCCACATCCTACCGGGCCCTTGCGGTTTAGGGCGGCTTCGGCCTTCGGGTGGCAAGCTATAAAAAGTGTGTACATATTTATATATATATATACAGATATCATCTCTGTATAAATAAATAAATAAATATATTTATATATATATATATACATACACATGATGTTTATATACCTATACATAAGGTAACTATACATCACATATCATATAACCTGTACTTTTTTGGTGCCCGGACACCACCCTCAACCAGGTTTCACTCAATGTTCTGCCAGCGGCGGGCTCAGTTAGGAAACGTTCCCGGGGTCGGACGATCGCAAGTGATCAAATCAGGGTTTCGGGTTTGGGGGTTCCGGCGGTTGGAGTACACAGGATTCGAGCTGCTTTGGTTTGTGCTTTCTGTGCCTGATAGGTTGCTTTGTGAGTGTTTCGGGTCGGCACGGCGTGAACCAATAATTGCATAAGTCGCTCGAAGCCTCCAGGTTAAAGTGTCGATTATTCGTATTGCTGTCATGTCCATAAAATTTGAATTAGAACCACGACTGGTAATAAAACCTACTGTGGCTGAGACCTCGACCCGAGCACTAGCATGGCCCTGCTTCTGATACATGTGGATTTCCAGACAAGTAGGTCATTTGGGGAGTCCCTCCAAATAAGGATCCTTCTGCCTAGGGGTACGGGGCAAATTACAGTCTGAAATTCCCATATAAGAGATTGTTGTGCCTTTGCCGCGTTGGAGTTCGCGATGCTATGGGCCATGACGGCGGTCAACACTAGAGACGAGCAGAGAGGAAGTGGAATCCGTTCTTCTGAAGAGTTCACTGGCGGAACCACTACTGTACAGATGCAGACAGGGTGGCTACGAAACAACTATGTAGTCATGCCGCGGCATTTAAACACTTGCAAGGAATGTGTAATCTCAAACCCAAAAATCGAAACCCCAAAGCTAAACCAAGAAACCTTAGCGCCGAAAACCCTAGAGCTCAAAACCTGAACCCGACTTCGACTTTAAGCTCTGAGCCTCCGCTCCCCTTTATTTCCCAGTCTCGGACAGGAGGCATGTTAGGCCCTAGGGCCTCTAGGGTTTGGAAACCGAGGAAGAGGATGCTCCGAAGGACCGCGATCATGGACTTGCGAGTTCGCACATGTAAGAACGATCCCCTCTTTCGCGGGAAGCTCTGCCTCCCCATCTCCCCTGGTGTTAATGATGCTTCGCTCTCTCCCCCTGTGCTCCAAAATCTATACCCTGCAGCACACGGAAGCCGCTTGACTAGTAACACAGAACCTGCGTCATTGTCCAAGACCAGCTGCGATTGCTTTCCTTCTGCAGGAGCTGTCCGGCATGCGAAAGAACATCAAGGGTGAGGAGGAGGAGAGTGTGGTATCCTTCGCGACGGCCAGCTGGGCCACCTCTGGCACAGCAGCCTCGGATGAGAACTCGGGCCACTCGGGTTCGACAGCCTCCGATGGCCCCGTAAAGAGGGTGAAAAGCGACAAAAGCGACAAAGGCGACAGGGGGGAAAAGGTTGAGAAGTGGACCGGTGGACCTGTCCGTATGCTTCATGCAGTGCAGTCTTTTGCATGGCAACTGTCGCTAGACTCTAGACACACTGAGAGAGTACCCTTGTGCAACTCCGGCGGCATGCGTGGACTAAGAATCGCTTGTGGACGAGTTCTCTTGGCTTGGTGACATGTTGTTTGCATACATAACTGGGGTACTGCATACTGACTTGAAGGTGGTAAGCATGATATTGCGTCACTTGTGACAATAACCTCTTCAGTCAGTCTCCTTGTGACCATCCAGTTTTTCGATATTTTCGCAGGTTCTATATACGTGATTCCTCTTGAGGCTGAGCTCGCAGGCTTGCAGCTGCAGGCAAGTAACTGTAGCCTTCTTGAGCCAGGCAAAAGTGTCGAGGACGCGGGGGCCACGTCCGGGTCGCCCAAGTTGCGTGGCTGCTCTTCAATGTCGTTTTCGGATTCGACAAAGTGCAGCACCAGACCCCTCTTTGATAGAGCGGCACTTGCAGAGAGTTTCTCTCCCCCTGAGCCTCATGCAGCTTGCAAAAGTTTGCCTTCTCGAGCCGGCTCTTGAGCTACAGACTAGAGTTCTCAAGATCCACACTGACAATCCATGCCCATGAGGGACTGCAGGGTGCAACATCAAACCTGCAACCCTCAATGGCCCTAAAAAGCCCTTCTCCCAAGGCCAAAGAAGAAGGCCAAAGCAAAGACAAAAGCCACGACTTCAAAGAAGGACGAGCCACTCGAAGAGGAAAATCGACGGTTGCTCCATGCTTCTTTGAGACCGCTGTAGGATTCTGGAGCTTTGAAGCCGATAAGAAGTATAGGATTTTGGAGCAAAGGGCCCCGAAGGAGACGATGGATCCTAGCATACGGGAACTTTTTGATCTGATGCATACCCCTAACCCTCCAGGTGCCTACTATATAGGGCCTGAGTGGCCCTGGTACCTATATACTAGCAGGTAACTGGGGGTTAGGGTACTGCTTCGAAGGTGCCTGCACCTGTCCGCACAATACCCGTATCCGGGCAAGCATGAACGTCAAGTTGCGTACGGTGCCTAGTTGCTTAATGAAAACGAACATCTTAGCATCAAGGCAGGCATTTGCAATAGCTCTTTTGGTCGCATAACTTTTCAGGGCAGGCATGTTGAGTTGAAGTCGCTGTTTGTGCAGTTGTTACGTCCTCAGATGTACTTGGGATTCGAGGTGCTTGCCTCAATTCACTGAATATTCGGGGTTGTGGAACTTCTGACCCGTGGAGGTCGCTGTTGCGCACGGTTCGGGCTTGAGGGATGGTCGACTGTCGCGCTATGCCCCAAAATCCTTGACCACGATCCCCAGTTGAAACAGACTGCACATTCTGCATGTCTGGGATTCGACAAATTGCTTGTGCCACGAAACGCACATGTAGCTGGTCCCCGAGCAAGGTGACCGGACTCGTTTGCATCCTCATATCCGAGTTGGAGTGAGTGAAAAGGTTTGAAGGCCTCGGTGCGATATAAACGTGATGCAGGCCAAGGGTTCTGTTGGTGGGCGTGGTAGAATTCAGGCTTTAGGGTCAAGAGCTCCGATCTGGGCTTTTGAGGAGGGGTTCAACCAATTCTCCGACCTCGAAAGTCGCCCAAGGTCTCGCTCATGAATTCCGAGTTCTTAGAGGTTTAGTTTAGGTGTCGGGGTCGAGGGTCGCAGGGGCCATGTTCTGGCAGCCAGCAAGGGCCTGAATGCCCTATGCCATCGCATTCAATCCCAAATCTAAAGCCCTTCAGGCATAGACCCTTAAACAGGAAACCCTATTAACCCATAAACCCTATAAGCCCTATAAACCCTGTAAACCCTATAAGCCCTATAAACCCTATAAGCCCTATAAACCCTATAAACCCTAAACGCGGGGTTCAGCTTCAAGGCCTGGGGCCGGTCGCATTCTCCGAGGCCTTCGAAGGCCATCCTGGTCTTCGAAACGAAGAGCGGCAAGCGCACAGTGGCTCTTCCGAGCACCGGGCCGCAGTTGAGCCTTCCTTTAGGGCTGAGGGAGTTTCGGGTTCAGAAGGCTTAGTGTGAAAGTTGGCTGGCCAGGGGGGAAGGTCGAAGCACATCGGGACAAGACATCCGTGTGAGGGCTTCAAAAACCCCAGGAACAGACCGCCCGGTTTCTCCGTCCGAGCCTTGCCTGCAGCTTATGGCCGTCTCATAGTCGACCGAGGCCTGTGGCCACAGGCGCCAGCATGGCCTTCCAGTGCATTCCAGCAATAGGGCCGAATGCCCTTCGGGGACACTGGGTCGTAAAAACTGAATCAAGGAGGACTTGCCAACTTGGTTGGTCCTAGCTCGGAAATGAAGTGTGGGCTTTGATGTGAAGGCCAAGAAGCGCCTACAAGGCAAAGGCCGTCGTGACAAATCTTCGAAGCAATTAGCTGCAGCTAGATGGGCACATTGACGCCTCCGTCATGCTGTGCAGATGTGTATTGATTTTCGGAACTGAAACTCGTAGCCGAGAGTGATGCCGGGCAGACCGTAGGTTCGGTGCTCCGAGGATCTGGAAGGAATGGGCGATCCGTCCTAGAGCCACGCTGTTACTAGCAGCTACTAGCACCCTGTTCTCATCCAGCATCAAAGAACCCTACATCCTTCCTAGAGGGCGACCTCAGACGACACGCCTCGCTTGGATTGTCCGAGCGTGAGCGCCGACATCCTTCCTAACCCCCTCATAGAACGCTTGCAAAGCCGTTTCGAAATCCCGGCGTTACCCGCAAAGGGACCGCTACAGAAAACCTTAGAATCCTCGAACCCTCGGATCCCAAAGCAGGACAGATTTCAGTCACAAGTTGCCCGTGTTTTTCTGCGATCCTTCTGCGGCACAGGTTTTCCACCGATGGATGTCATCCGGGTGGTGGGACCTCCGGCCTCGACCGTGGGCATTGAGGCGAGGTTCTGTAGGATTTGATAGGGGATTCTAGGGTCTGAACAAATTTTGAGGCGATGCTTATCTGATGGTCTCCTACAAGCTCCTGTTGGGTAGTCCTCGACTCCAATATGAAACCTCGTGCCTTCCAAATATGAAGTCATGTTGGGTTAGTTGGGTCTCAAATTCTTCAACCAACCCTAACCCAACACCCAAGGCATGACGTAAGTCGAGAATCCAAGAGTCTCATTTTGGCAGCGAGAACAACCTTGAGCCGTGAGGTGGGGTGGAAGCTGGTGGCATGGGGACTGAGTGAGGATGTGCCCCGGCGTTTTTTTGCGTGTATATATAAATAAAGAGTAGGGTTCTATCTAGACACTACCTGTGTGATTGCAGCAGCTGTTTCAACGGTCGTGGTTATGCTGTGAATACCTCCGTGTTCCGACGCAGATGCACATGCATGGATTCGGGTCTCATGCTTAGGTTAGTCTAGCAGGATGTGTACCATGGCGTGCTGCTGGCTTTAGTGCTTTATTCCTCGTCTTTTGAAAGTTTAACTCGTATAGTACATATATATATATATATATGCGGTAAAGCCGCACTTTCTGTATCATCAAGTAACATCAAATGAGAATCAAATCCCCTTGCCACCAAGCCTCATGCTAGCAGCACTGGCAACAGCTATCAGAGACGGAACTAGGCAATTGAAATTCCGCTGACCGAGGAGTTGCATTCCAAGTCTACGATTTCAGACACCGGCGCCCTGTCGAACAGTGGTTTGAAGGTGTGGGGCCCTTGCTGATCTAAAGGCTTCGGCCGAGTTCCAAAGCAAGAGCTCAAAGGCCTGACTTTGCTTTGTGGGGGTTCCCAAAAATAGGGGACCCTAATATAGTACCCCAAATAATAGGACCCTTATTAAAAGGACCCCAAAATAAACTACCCCCTATTTTCGGAAACTCCCTTGTAGCACACCGGGGGACTGCCCAGAGCCTTCAAGTAGAGCCTTCCCGGGGACCCTACCTTGTTTAGGGTTTAGGGTTTGGGGGATGAATCCCAAACCCCACAGCTGCACACTCGAGTGTCGTAGTAGCGTTCACCTTGGACCAGGGGTCTGAGAGGTGTCGATCAACAGATCCAGATTGTGTCGTTTTGACCTCAGTCCTAAGTAGAGAAACAAAGCGGTAGACCTCAAGAGTTGGGGCCCGCTTAAGTTCACGCTTCAAAACAGGAAGTCAGGCAGGGAATTGTGCATGTTGATCTCCGAGTTTGCACTTCGTCAGAAGTGTCTTTGCGTGGAGTCGGTACACATGCTACACATGCAGACGGTTAAGCTCCAGCCTAAAGTGGCCTAATGTTCGTTCTCACTGATAGCTGCAACAGGTTTACTTGCTTCTGATTGTTCCCACTTTGAACCAGTCTGTGTGACCCCACGTGTTTTTTCGCGATCTGCAAGCACTACATCGAGGTACTCTCCGCGACAGCTTCACCAATCTGATCAAGAGCCTGCCGCGCTTAGAGCCCGCAGGACCGACTTCCACAAGTTATTGGCTTCTGGGGTAGGGTTCACGGCTATTTTCGACTCGCGGTGTGCAGTGCGTTCTGGGGTGGACGCTCACCTTCAATGGATGCCGGGGTGATTCAAATCCGGGGTAAAGCAGCACAAAGCGATGAAGGGTGCCCGACAGCCGCTTGAAAGAGTGAAAGCTCCACAAGCCCTCGACCAGGAACCTCGGCCAAGGCCACTGAAGCGCCGACCACAGCACTTGTTGCAGGGCCGTACTCCGTTCCTTCTCAGTAGCGGATGCGACGAACTCTTTTTCCTGGGCATGTATTAGCACAATTGCCTCGTCAAGCCGTCAGGCAACGGGTTCGCAGTGTATTGCAGCCGAGGCGCCGTCTAAAGACGAACAGCCTGGTAGTGGCGAGGTTGCGGCGTTGTCGCCCGGCACAACGAAAGGTACACAGTAGCATTCAAGATAAGGTTTCGGAGTTTGCGGTGACACCTGCACCAGTAAAGGTCATGACATTAGAATCCAGCTCTGCCACTAGATGCAGTCGTGAACAGAGAGGGAGAGAGAGAGAGAGGGAGAGAGACAGTCAGTGAGTCAGACATCTTGTACAAGCCCGTGCTTGCATGTCGCATGTATTTATTCATGCATGGGTGGATATACAGATTGGTTGGGGGGGGGGGGGGGGGGG